CAGTCTTAAAATGAGTTAAAGAAGGCATCTTATATTTTTATTTTATTGTTATTACAAAAATATTTCAATAATTAAACGTACCTTTTCTTCAGATACTTCTAGAGATTTGAGGTTGTTACCTACTACTCGAAGTTCTTCTTCAAGTTCTACAATTTTGCTGCAAAAAAAGAAAATTATTCTCATTATGTAATACAACCCCCCTCCTAATAAAAAATTTGGAAATGAACATTTTCGATGACTTATTTAATTTAGAATATTATTTTAATTACGTAGGTCATGTATATAATCTGTGACATTACGAATTTACTCTAAACATTTAATAAACAAATTATTACAGAAACAGGGGGGCAAGAAACAATTTACTGAAACAATCAACACCTACGTTTCGTCTTTAATGTAACCGGCTTCCTCAGAGAAGAAACGAAGGTGTTGTTTGTGTCCTTATAAGGTCAAATTTGACCTTAATTTCTACACTATCTCAGAAAATGTGAATAAATTTGTAATGTTTTGTGATACATCTTTTGTTTTATTCTTCATTTATTAAAACATAAATTCGTTTAATTAACTAATTTGTCACATTTATATAATAATTTATCTTGTTTACACTCCAAGTTTAATCAATAAAATATTTATGCCAAATTTAGATAAAATGAACAACTGATACCATATATACACATACATATATATGTACATACGTCAGTAAGCGACAGCAACATATTCTAAATTAAATATTAAAACCCCGAAAAGTTTTTGCTTTAGGTTAATAATAACACAAAAAAGTATAGTGCAAACTACGCTACCGTTCTCTTTCCCTACCTCTCGCTCTGATTAGCCCTTTCTTCTGTTCTTTCCAAGTCTTGTTCCATTAACACCAACTTTCGAGATGCCTAAAGCACACACATGCGTCGCAATTAGATTTTTAAGAGGTTAGCAAAAGCTCAAATTAAAAACAAAACAAATTTTTGACGGACTGCACTGTTTCTGAAACATACGACTGTTGCAACCGAACAAAACAATAGAAACAAAAGAGCGGTACGTCTCAAGTGCCTACTTGATAAGCACATTTCAAAAATAATGCAGTCCACAAAAATCAAATACACGATAGAAACAAAGTTAAATAAAAAACTAGCTAAACACTGTTAATAATGACGATAAAACTGTAAAAAGTTGTTTAATTAGAAAACACACGCCAGAATTTCCCAATTCTGGTTGGAGTACTCCTCAGGAATTTAGCAGACGAAACCTACAGAACTTTTATTAATAAAAATTAATTATAAACAGGAATACACACATGTTTAGACCGACAGACATGCTAGTAACAATGTATAAAAGCAGACATTGATTTTTTTTAATTAATTTTTTATGACACCTACGCTTCACCCGCCTCTGCACGTTCTTCTGCCCTTTCTAAGTCAGCTTCTACCATTGCAAGTTTACGAGCTACCTGTTGAACAACAATTATTTTTTTAGCCATAATCCTAATAACAAAATGGTGATAATAATTTAATTGTCACTGAACAAAATTATTTTACTGATAAATTCTATTGAAACAATTTAAAATTTTTAGTAACCACGCACAAACAAACTGATAAGCATTAGTTCAAAGACGTTCTAGTAAAAGCCGGAAAAAATAACAACAATAAATAAATTTCTTTTATAAAATTACTTAGTCCTTTATTTAAATAAAATCTGCGAAAGTTTGAAACTAATTGAATAGTTGCATGCGTTAGTTTTGAAATGAACAATAAAAATTTGGCAAATTTTTAATAGCACTTCTGGCTGGTATGTTAATGAC